CTCAGTGTGTGGCTCAGTGTGTGTCTCAGTGTGTCTCAGTGTGTATCAGTGTGTGTCAGTGTGTCTCAGTGTGTCTCAGTGTGTCTCAGTGTGTCTCAGTGTGTGTCAGTGTGTCTCAGTGTGTCTCAGTGTGTCTCAGTGTGTCTCAGTGTGTGTCAGTGTGTCTCAGTGTGTGTCAGTGTGTCTCAGTGTGTGTCAGTGTGTCTCAGTGTGTGTCTCAGTGTGTGTCAGTGTGTGTCTCACCTGCTGGGTCCTCTTCACAGAGCCGATGCAGATCAGACAGGTCAGGGCTCCAGACTGGAACAGGTCACTCAGGTACTGACCTGTTCTGAGCAGACCTGACGAGTCTCCACCTGAACACAGGTTCACCTCCGTAAGAAGAGAACAGAAGACCTGATCAGAACCTCAGGTGAGCCCTCACCTGTCTGGACCGTGTAGGAGGTGAAGGTGGACTCCAGGATCCTGCCTGTCTGCTGGTCTCCATCTTCATGGTCCTCGTCAGAGGAAGAGGAGCTGAGCTGGCTCTCCACCAGTCTCCTGGCAGCAGCCTGGTTGGACTTCTGGATCTCCTGGAACCTGGACTCTCCTGTCAATCACAGAGGGGGGGTCAGAACCGGGTCAGGACCTGGTTCTGGTGAGACTGTGACAACAATCAGAGCTGTTCCTCACCCTGCAGAGGAGGAGTCGGGTTGGTCTTCAGCCTCAGACCTGGTCCTGCAGCAGGCCCCGGCCTCTCCTTCTGCTGAGGCCGTGACCTTTGACCCTGAGCGTCCTGACCCCGGCCACGCCCCCTGCCCKGCTGTCTCCAGGCGGGATCCATGGAAACCCACACTCTACCTGGCAGGTAAAACAGGAAGTTTAAATAAACCTGAGCRGCAGCAGGTAACGGGCTGAGAACAGACACTGCGCATGCGCCACGTTTAAACTCCCACTGCAGCAAACCGACCTGAGCTCAGGTGTTTCTACAGGTGAACCTACAGCTGCAGGTCATAATAAAACCACAGAAACATAAAGTGACTCAGTGGTGAAGAAACTAACTCCTGGAGCTGCTGATGTTAGCTAGTTTAGCCTCACAGTTCAAACGGAGCTAACCGCCGGCTAACCGAGCAGAGCTAGCTGCACAAACTCACAGAGAAACACACAAACAACACGTCACATCCGGTAAACATCGATTATAAACAATAATAAACTCCACAAATTAAACTCTGACTCTTTAGCTGCGAATAAAGTACAAAAAACAAGTGATTTAAGCCGCAGTTTGAAGTTAAACTAACCTGAGCGGAGCAGACACACGGCTCAGTGGCTGTCATGCGCACAGGCCGCGGTGCATGCTGGGACATGTAGTTCTTTAAGCCCCGCTTTAACCACGCCAGGAGCAATAAAACTACAACCCCCAGAGATCCACCGAGCTGATTCAGTGAGTGACGTGTCAGTGGGCTCTGCMAGAAGAAAATCTGCTGTTTATACTTTAAAATGTGCTTTTTACAACAGAAACAAACACAACTACTTTTATTTGTTAATATTACTCATCATACAGTATTATTACTTTATCTTTTACTGTTTTATTGAGGATTTTAATTGACTTTATAAGTATTTTTGATGAGCACTCCTACTGTGTTAGTTATTTACTCTTAAATAAACAGCAAACACATAAACAATAGATATTTTATTACTGTTTTTGATTTTGTTTAAATGCTTTTTAATGTTTATTTCATACATTTTTAGWTTAATGAGAAGAATCTGACAATTATACCAAATATCAGCTCATTTTAATAGATTTAGAACCTTAGATCTGCAGAAAACAGTTCTTGAGGAATCACAGTCACAAAGTTGCTCACATCAACACATCATAAAATAGTTTATGTTTATTAACTGTCCTCTTCAACACAGACTTCATATAATAAAGTGTTTATGAAAAATAACTGCAAAACGTTCAAAAGTGATGAAAAAAGAAGATTTAAAGATTTCATAAATGAATCTTTTTTTCTGGTAAATGTTTCTGTTCAGTGTTTGTTCTGCAGAAACAGAAAATAAAACAAGCAGCTTGTGTTTTTCTTATAAAATGTCTTTATTTCAGCTCAGTTCTTCTATCATTTAGATGCAGATTTTTGGCTCAGCTTATTTAAAAAACATCCGTTAAATTCCAGAAGAACAGGTTATTACAGGACGTGAAGTGAGTTCATGTTTCTGTCAGGGAAATAACAACTAAAGAGAACAAGTTAAAACGTTTATCCATCAAACCTCAGAATCAAATATTCTTCTAGTTACTAAAACTAATGTGAAAGTTTTACAGCTCACAGAAGAAAAACAACTAAGAGTAGATTAAAACCCTTTCCTTCAGTTTACCGACGGTCCCTAAACGCCTCATCAGCTGGATTTTATTTATCTGCAGATTTTTTTTATTATTATTATTATATAAATTTGAGTTCTCCTCTTCTTACTTCTTCTCCTCTCCTTTGGTGGTTTGAGTCTCAGGAGTGGAAGGGGGCGGGGCCTGTGGGGGCGGGGCCATCTTCCTCTCCAGCCGTGTGACTCTGTGTTTGAGTTTGCTGTGAGTGGCTTCATGTTCTGCCAGCAGCCGGGCGTACTGGGTCTGCAGGGAGTCCAGATTACCCGTCATCCGGTCCACCTTCTCCTCCATCTCCTTGGGGTCCGGGCCCTGTGCTGCCACCTGGTGGAGGAAAGGTTTTTATCTCAGCAGGTCGGTGGTTATGGAGTCCTGCTGGGTAAAGGATGGTGTGGGTGTACCTCCAGGTCCAGCAGCCCGTCCTTCATCAGGATCTGCCTCCCCTTCTCCTCCAGCAGAGCTTTAGCGTCAGGGTACTCCGTCAGCGCCTCCATCAGGTCGTCTTTGGACAGACAGAACAGGTCCGAGTACCCGATGCTCCTGATGTTYGCTGTCCTCCTGTTTCCTGCCTTACTGCCTGTTGGAGGAGAGGTCACACTGTTCATGACCCTCAGAATGTCTGAGGTTTCATCACATTCAGACTGGTTTATTGACCGTCTTTGAGGACATAACTGGAGTAACCCCTGGCTTCAGACCAAGGAACGGGGCAGGGTCAGATAATAGGTGGGGTTGGACATCTGACTCCGCCCTCAACTCTAAAATTAACCAACCCCAGAGGCTAAATTATAAAATTAACCACTCCCAATGTTTCAAGTCTCATATTGACGTTCCGACAAGCCATGACCACGCCCATTGTACGTCTGACCCCGCCTACTGTCCGACCCTGCCCCGATCYGTGGACTGCAGCCAGGGGTACTTGCATTACTGTCCTCAGAACAGCAGTAAAGTTCTGCTTCTGTCTTCATGACTCTAATAAAAACTGAACCTTTTATATTTTAGATCACGAGGAAACTCAGAAAATGTTTTTAAATTTTTAGACTGAAACCTAAAGCTCATTAAGAACAGGAAGTCTGGGACCAGTTAACCTGTCCAACAAACCCTAGGCCTCGGCTGTGTCCAAATTCAGGGGCTGGGTGGGTCCTTCGAAGGACCCGGTTTAGCTGGGCCAGGTCCAGCAGGTGGGCCAGGGCCAGCAAAAAAAAAATCTCTGGTCGTCGGCATCATGGGATRTGGTGGGCCGAGAAGGATCCATCGGACTCGTCCGTCAAATCAAAGCAAAAGAAGGACACATTTATCCGACACATTAGAGGAGTCTTTGATTTTGGACATCCTCAGGCACGACGCTGTGACGTAAGCGGACGACRAATTCRTCCGTCRGAGRACCTAGCCCCTGAGTTTGGACGCAGTCCCTGAGTTTGGACACAGTCCCTGAGTTTGGACACAGTCCCTGAGTTTGGACACAGTCCCTGAGTTTGGA